GTAGAAGGCATTGGCAGAACTCAAACCCCTGGTTTCTGATTCTCTGGTCTCCACTCTTTCCATGATGGCTTAGCGACTGGTGAGAACTCTTGAGAACAGCTTCTTCACCACCTTTATCAAACCTTATCGGTAAATAACATGCTGCCGGGAGATTATATAACAACTTCTATTTGTAGAACACTTTACAGTTTGCAAAGCACTTTCGTATATTATTTCAGCACTCTGGCAACTGCCCTGTAACTCTGGCTTCCTAGAGAAGTTTCCTGGCATCCTGCACCAGTGGTATTTCATGACAGGATATTGATTTAGTGTGTGGATGGTGCCTCATCCTGCACAGCAGAGACAGAAGGTGGGGTTTGGGGGTATTTACACAGCTGTTTGACACTTCCAAAGCTACCCAAAATCATATTTTTGAAAACTGATGCTGTTCCCAGAGGGCGGGAAGCATGCTTTCATTTCGCTTTATTACAAATCTATTCATACTGGGGCAGTTAAATATGTATTGGAGATGCCAAGCAACAAGGACCCTGGATGCTGTATTCAGTCTGTTTCCAAACCTTTAGGAGGAATTTAAACTTCAGTTCCCTGCAAATGCTGCAGAATCCTTGAGGCTGTCATTTGCAAACCACTTCATGCAGTAACTGTGTGTGGGAAGCCTGCACACACCATCCGTGTGGATTATGGATGGTTTTGCAGACTCAGCGGAGTGTTTGGATCCATCGACGGCTTGATCAGAATCAGAGTCATGTATCAGCCTGCAACAGGAAAATAGTTCCTACTAGATGGAAACTTCCCACAGGGAGGCCAGAGTTGAAAGCAGTCACTCGTTTCTGCTGCTTTAACAGCAAGTCATAGAATCACAGATTTTACAACCGGAAAGGATCTGAGAGACCACATCTTCTCTCCCCTTTATTTTATGACGAGGAAACTAAGGCATAGAGAAGTGAAATGATGACTCCAAGATCACATACACAGTCTAAGTACAATGCTCTTTCCACCGTGCCATAGTATTTATTCCAGAAAACACCTAAGCCACATATTGTTTTGCAGATCAAAGAAACTGGCATTATTTAGGGTCACGCTCATGGTCTGCCCAGCTTCCAGTGCAAACACGAGACCTTGATTTGTTATCACCAGCAGCTTTTGAATGAATTGCCTTGTGATGCCTTAGGTCAAAAGTAGTGTCACAGTTAGAACCAAAACATCTATAAATGTGGTTTCATGGCACAGCCTCTCCGTGGCATGAAACCAGAGCAATACTGTACCATTCACCTCATTATCAGATTAGCTGCGTCAAAAAACATGTATTAAATACTTTTATCCACCTGCACCCGACGGTTCATCAGATGGGAATGGATGACATCAAGCCCCTTAGCAGCTGCTTTGCAGTGAAACAGCAAAACTCAGGGTAAGGACGGCCCGACACACAACCTGAGGCAACGCGCTTTACCGGTGTGTGCAAGGCAGGTTTTCACTGCTCACACGTGGTTGGTTTGTTTGTTTTTTAATCCACCATGGAAGACTCCTCAATCCTAAAAAGGGATCGTGGGAAAATCTGGCATTAAGCAGGACATTTCCTTTGCTCATGAACGGCTATAACCCTCCTGCCTTTCCATTTTCTACTCCTTCAGCCTGGAATGTTCTCCCATTCTCCCCTCCCTCAGTCTTCTCTCAAGATTCAGCTTAAGTGTCACCTTCTCTGGGAACATTTCCTTGACTGTTTTTTTTTTTTTTTTTTTTTAATTTTTTGGCCACGCCCGTATGGCATGTGGAATCTTAATTCCCTGACCAGGGATCGAACCCGCGTCCCCTACATTGGGAGTGAGGAGTCTTAACCACTGGACCGCCAGGGAAGTCCCAACACTGCCCCTTCTTTACCTCACTCCAAGCTGAGTTCAAGCATCCTTTTTCTGTACCCCACCCCCACCCCACGTGAATCCAACGCTTCCTCTCTCACCCAGCTTGTCACACAATACTGTAGCTTTAGGTTTATTTGTCTGTTAAAAGGCACACACCACGTGAGCCATGGCCGCTGAGCCTGCGTGTCCGGAGCCTGTGCTCCGCAATGGGAGAGGCCACAACAGTGGGAGGCCCGCGTACCGCAAAAAAAAAAAAAAAAGGCACACTCCATGGGGGGAAAGAACATTTTTCATATCAGCATTCTCTTTTTTTAATTTTATTGAAGTATGGCTGATTTACAATGTTGTGTTAATTTCTGCTGTACAGCAAAGTCAGCATTCTTTTTGACTGGAATAATGCCAGCAACAGTGTAGGTTTTTGATAAACGTCAGTAGAATGAATTCTTCTGCTTGCCATTCAACCTCCCCCTTTATCTGTCCTCTCTTACTTTGCCCAAATCCTTAATGTGATCAATTTTCTCCTCTTCAAGCTGCCTCTTAATCTACCTGTAAATGCCCCCAAGCCAAATACTATCAGGGACACTCCTGTAGTTGAACTCTGGGTCTATTGCTCATTGCAACAGAGGATGCATACCATGGGGAAGGGTGGGACATCTCTGGAAGAAAGTATTAGAAAGAAATAGGAGGGAATTCCCTGGCATTCCAGTGGTTGGGACTCCATGGTCTCACTGCCAAGGGCCCGAATTCCCTGGTCGGGGAACTAGGATCCCACATGCTGTGCGTTGCGGCCAGAAAAACAAAACAAAACAAAACAACCCAAAAAACAAAACATGATTGGCTTGTGTTGGATGGTTTGTATAACGGATCAGAGAAGTGGGGTTTTGCTCTGTATTGGAGGCTGTCAGGAAACAGGGGTGATTCTGTGATTGGCTATCAGTAAGAATGAAGCAAAGCTAAGGCTGTGATTAACAAAGAATCTGCAGTCATTCATATTAGCCAAAATAACAGGGGGATGTTTGGTCATTTCTGTGGTTAGGATAATGTTCATACTTTTGCCTGTGTTCAAACATCAGTGATTATGTTTTTGTGTTGATCTATCGTGGTCACAGAATGGCCTTGTCTGTGCTGATGACTTGCAAAATTATTTCTACAGAACACTAAGGCCTAGCGAATAATACCAGGCCAGCACCCAGATGCCAAGGAGCTGCTTTTCTCTTTCTCATAACCCACACCCATTCCTAACTTTCATCAATCTGTTTCTCCTCTTAGGATGCTATTCTCCGTTCCCCAGCAAACTCCACAAAACCCCATCTTCCCCATGAGGCTTTCCTAAATACTACTTTCTCCATTAGATTATCTTTTCTGAATGCATCTAAACGTCTTGGTTGGCATACCACAGTTTAGTACTCAACTGTGTTCTAGCCTGAATTGTTTGACTTGTTTCACACGTATTTTTTTAAATAAATTTATTTATTTGTTTTTATTTTTGGCTGTGTTGGGTCGTCCTTGCTGTGTGTGGGCTTTCTCTAGCTGCGGTGAGCGGGGGCTACTCTTTGTTGCAGTGCGCGGGCTTCTCATTGCGGTGGCTTCTCTTGTTGTGGAGCACGGACTCTAGGCGCGCAGGCTTCAGTAGTTGTGGCACGTGGGCTCAGTAGTTGTGGCTTGCGGGCTGTTGAGCGCAGGCTCATTAGTTGTGGCGCACGGGCTTAGTTGCTCCGCAGCATGCGGGATCCTCCCGGGCCAGGGCTCGAACCCGTGTCCCTTGCATTGGCAGACAGATTCTTAACCACTGCACCACCAGGGAAGCCCTAGCATGTATTTTTCTTCTTAGTAGATTGTAAACCTTATTTAGGGGCAGGGCTGTTTCTCATACTTCAGGATCCTCCAGAAATGAGCGCCCGCTGAGGTGAAACGAATGGCTGGTCTGAGTAAGGGGGAGAGGGCAGCTTGCTTCTGTATCACAGCTCTGAAAACACAGCTACAGGCCTGCAGGGGAGAAACCATTAGCTTGCCCTTTCCCCTGCTGGCTGCCATTTCTAACACCCTGAGCTGATCTTCCCATCAAGAAAGCTTTTTCCAATTTTTCTTTTGGAGCAATCATTTCTTTCCAAGAGTTATTATTTCTTTTGGCACTCTCTTCTCCCTACCTGTCTGAAAGCTCCTTGAATGCAGGATCTACCATTAATGAATTTTTGTCTCCTGTCACTCTCCCAAAGCACCTGGCACCTGACTTAGACGGTGGAAGGAAAGGACCAGCAGTTCCCGACCAACCCCATCTCCTGCCTGGCTCGACGCAGAAAGCGGGGTGCATCAGAGCTGTCTCCTGTCGGGCCGGGTGGGACGCCTATGAGGCTCACTGCAATGGCCTTTGGCACAAGACCTCAGCCTGGGCAGTTAGCCGCACGCTCTCCGGCCCATCATCACTGCCCCGGGTTGCTCCTTAGGAGGACACTAAGCAGGTTTGGGGAAACTTTAATTAAAAGCTGCGAGTTTCAACCACTCTCCACAGAGACGCTGGGATTCGTCAAAGCTGGAGAAGTATAAGCAATCGACATCGACCGCAAAGCCAGCAGGCAGAATCAGCTCGGTTTCCACCACCGGGATGCGGTTTGCTTTCTACAAAGCCTACTCACGCCAACTGTACGGTTCAGCCAATCACACAACCCGAGGGGGCGTGGTCGCCAAGTAGAAGGTGGAGAAGGCGGAGCCGAAGCCTTGATTAGCATCCGGTCTGGGGCGGGGGGCGGGGCCCAGAGGCCTGGCAGCGCCGCGTCTGAAGAGGCTTCAAGTTGCGAGGCCGAGCACCAACGGCCATGTTTATTTCTGGCAGGTCAGCTGACTTGGACTAACTCAGGGCCAACACGTAGGCGGTATCCCTTTTCTCTGGGGAGCGGATGAGGCCCTCCCCTCACACACTTCCCATCTCTCCGCGCGCGCCCCCGCCTTGCCGGTGAGCCTGTTTGGCGGGAAGTTGGCTTAGTTGGCCTACCTGTGGCTCAGCGGGTCCTGTGGTCCCCGCCTTGTTTTTCCCCAGAAGCTTCTCAATCTTTCGTCGGTCATCTCGGCATAAGGCATAGTACCCCTTCGCACGGAGGACGCCATGGCTCCCAGGAAACGCCCAGAAACCCAGAAGACCCCCGAGGTGGTTGTGCGCCCCAAGAGCAAGAGGAACAGAAGCCCCTGGGAGCTGGAACCCGAGGCCAAGAAGCTCTGTTTGAAGGGCCCCGGTACTGCCTGCGCCTGCTGCTTTAATTAATTCCGCCATTTGGGGTTCTCACACAGGAGGCTGGAGTGGGGGGTGGGTGCGCCTGGGTCCCTGAGGCTGTCCCAAATTATGAACGCCTCAGGCTGTGCATTTTGTCTGCAGGTCCTTTGACACCTTAGAGCTTGGGCTTAACCTCCCTCAGGTGACAGGAAGAGGCAGATGAGCTCCATTACAACAGACACAACGGACTTTTCAAATTCCTTGTTTGTACCAGAATTTTTACACACTGAGGACTGCTTAAGATAATCCTACTTTGCCTAGTGGTGTGTGTACTTAATTTCTCTAGTCACGATTGCTAGCTGTATGTCCTTGGTTTAACTGCGGAAACCCTCCCATTTCCCTCCTTCCTTCCTTGGAAAACTCATTCTTAGGGGTTTATTGGGGCTTGAACCTGGGGCTATAAGGAATGTAGGGAACTCAAAAGACAGGGGGTTGTTGATGAAGTGTTTTTTTTGTTCATGAGAAGAAAGAATTGGTTGTCACGAGGTGGGATTCATAGAGATCAGGTCCTCAAGTACATGTTGGTAATCCAGAGTTGCTTTATTCCTATTCTAGGTGGATCTACCTTCCCAAAAGTAGCCTAGCGAATTTAGCGCCACACCGGACCCTATGGATCCTGCTGGTTTTAAGGAGAAGAGATTGGACTTAGGGCCAACCACTGGTCACCTCTACATTATTTTAATATAGGATTTAAAGAAACTGCTTTTCCCAAAAAGTCACTTCTGTGCTGTCCTAAAATCTTTTTATTGTGCTTTATATGTAACTTTTAAATTGTCACCCAACCCTATCACTAGTTCTCCAGCCCAAACTGGGAAGAGTTCTGCAGTTCTCATGTGTTTCTTTGGCTCAGTTCTCAGGAACCCTGCAAGATCATAGTTTCACTTCAGAAGTACTATTTTGGGGAATGTTTTTTGGAAGGGGCTGAATTCCTACTCACTATTTATTTGTTGTGCTGGGTGAGACTGAGCAGAACGTGGAAAAACCTTAGGAGATGATAAGAGAGATTGTCTATGCCGAATGAAGGAACAAGGCTTTCTTTTTGGGATGTTTCAGCAGAAAAATCTTTGAGTGAGATTGGAGCGGAAAATATGTGTCTGTTCTGCTTGGCAGGTCCTAGCAGAAGATTTGACTCAGGCTGCCTTTGGGCGGGGTTGGCTAGCCTGCGGGTCCCGCCACCATGCAGCATCGTCAGGGCCCTCCACCAGCATAAGCTGGGCACAGCTGCCTGGCCATCACTACAGCAGGTGAGGCGTTTCCTGGCTGAAGAGCTCAAGGGTTTGCATGGTGGCTTTTTTTTTTTTTACTGCTGGATGGTCCAAAATTAGATGCTGGGTTGGTTCAGTGGGTCGTCGGAGTGGTCAGATCACCCCCATCTTGTTGACTACTGGGCACTCAGCCATGTAGAAGTGCCCACTGGGCACTCAGCCATGTAGAAGTCCTATGCTGTAGGGTGTCCCAGCAGGAATGCACCCTGCCTCCTTGCTTTCCATGATTAGGTCATGTATATTGCAAATATTTTTATGCACAGAGTCAGGCAGTTATTTTTCCTTTAGTGGGAGGACCTGACCCCACTTATCTATGCGGGAGTCAGAGATTGGCAATTTACCCTTATGTTTTAATTCAACTTAATTTTTTTCTCTCTGTATCAGGGTCTCCAGCAGTCCTTTTTGAACTCTCTGGCTTCTTACCGGATATTCCAAAAGGCTGCCCCTTTTGACAGGAGGGCCACATCCCTGGCGTGGCACCCAACTCACCCCAGCACCCTGGCTGTGGGTTCCAAAGGGGGAGATATCTTGCTCTGGAACTTTGGCATAAAGGACAAACCCACCTTCATTAAAGGGGTGAGCAGTTCCCTGTGCCAGACGATAGTGCTGAAGAAGTGTGTGTTGAAGGGATGAAAAGTCATCCGGTAACAAGGAGATAATTGGGATCAAAAATAACTATGGGTATTTTCAAACGAGTCAATGGTGATGATACTCAACTCTTTATTGAACGCCTGCCCTTAAAATATTAGGAAGTATGAAATATTGATCACCCTCGTAAATTACCTAGAATCTAAGCCCTTTCTTACCTCCTTGACCTCATCTTGTACTACTGTCTTTCCTCATTTCCTATGCTTTAGCCATACTGGCTATTTCTCTTCCTGAAGCTGAGTCTTTGCACTTGCTGTTCCCTGTGACTGGAGTGCTCTTTCCCATGGTTTTCTCATGGCTGGCTCCCTCTTATCATTCAGGTCTCGGCTCAATATATTTTTTCAAAAAGGCTGTTACTGACCGCTCTGCCTAATCACTGATGACTCCCTATCTCATTATCCTGCTTCACTTTTCCCCCACAATGTTTATCAATATCTGAAATGTTTTACTTATTTGTATGTCTTTACCCACTGGAAGGTAAGCTCCATGATGGCAGGGACCTTGTTTTTCTGATTTACCACTGTATCCCCAGTACCTAAAACAATGTTTGGCCTAGATAGCTGCTTTGTATTTGTTGAATGAATGAGGGGCTTGGAGTATAACTGGATAGGTGGGATGTCTACCGACAAGATAACTAACAATACAGCAGTACAGATGCTAAATGCTACATACAGAACATGAGAGAAGGAAGAACCTCTTGTGAATTAGAGTCAATAGAGGTTTCATAGATGAGTGAGGAGTGAGGAAGAACAATATTTAGATAAATGGAGAGAAAAGGAGGAAAGGCAGAGTGTGTTTGGGGCAAGGTTTGGCATAGAGCTTTTTAGGGATGCTCTTAATTGTGCTAGTGTTTGTCATCAGTCGCTGAGGGGTGAGGGTATTGGCCCCTCCACCAAAGACAAGACCGTTAGCTTGCCCAGCTGGGGACTGACATTGGAGGGCTATACTGTGAAAGGTGATGCTCTGGGTTTAGAGCAGGAGCCACAAATTCACATGCGTTAAGAAGCCAGACAGATAATGATGTAGGAGGGTGGTTAGTGGTACACTGATATCTTAGTGGTATACCACTAATATCTTATTTCCTGTAGATGGTTGACAGGTGAGAATCTAGGTCCTGAGGTATCAGATCTGATTTTTTCAAATGAAGACTGAAATGTTCTGACTTTAAAAAATTGTAATGAAACACATATAAAATTTACCATCTTAACCATTTTTAAGTTTACAGCTCAGTGGCTTTAAGTATATTTACATTCTTGTGTAACCAGTCTCCAGAACTTTTTCATCTTGCAAAACTGAAACTCTGTAGCCATTAAACACTAATTCCCCATTCCTCCTTCCCTCCAGACCCTGGCAACCACATTCTGCTTTCTGTCTCTATGATTTTGACTAAGTATCTCATACAAGTGGAATCAGACAGTATTTGTCCTTTTGTGATAGGCTTATTTCACTTAGCACAGTGTCCTCAAGTTTTATCCATGTTGCAGCATGTGTCAGAATTTTCTTCCCTTTTAAGGCTGAATAATATTCCACTGTATGTATGTACCACATTTTGTTTATCCATTCATCTGTTGATGGACATTTGGGTTGCTTCCACCTTTTGGCTTTTGTGAATAATGCTGCTGTGAACGCGGTTGTACAGATATCTCTTCGAGCCCCAGCTTTCAGTTCTTTTGGTTATGTACCCATAGTGGAATTGCTGGATCACATTGTGACTCTATTTTTCATTTTTTGAGGAACCACCATACTGTTTTCCATAGAGGCTGTACCATTTTACATTCCCGCCAACAGTACTCAGGGGTTTCAATTTAAAATATCCTGGTTTTTAATGTTGGGAACTAAGTGAAATTGAACATGCTCTGTAGCTAAACAAAACACATTTGTGAACTGGATTCTGCATTAGCTCACTGTTTTTATACCTCAGGTTTAGAGGCCAAAGGTAAACCCAGGATGAGTTCTTTTAAGTGGAGGGTTTGGAGAGCAGCTCATCAGAAAAGGCCAGGTTAGGCAGGCTTGAAGATTAGGATTCAAGGTGAGATCAGTGTTCAAGAAAATAAGTGCCTGAAGCCCAAAGAAAGGCAGCCAGGGGATTACTTGGTGGTCTGTCTACCCAGCTGGTGAGACAGGTGACCCCCAGGAGGGGTAGCTTTAAGTTGAAGTCAGAACCCAGAGCTCAGGCAGGAGGAGATTGGTTTTTTTCCTAGGCATCCAGGACATGGGAATAGAGAACTTTAAGAAACAGCCTAAGAGTGTCCTAGGGGAAGAGTTTCCTGACAAAAAGGGGAATGATAACTGCTTTGAACTTGTGTCAGGCTGAAGCTGCTTTTGGTTTATATCACCCTTTATTATGATGTGCATTTAAGTGAAGTTTCCTTACACACTGTTGTGGAGATTGGTCTGGGCATTTGAACTCTGTGACTAGTAGGGAACTAGGTTGTAGCAGGAGAAGGGTAGGTGGTCTGGAGAACTGTCTGTTTTTACTCCCAGGAACTGACAGCAGAACGTTGATTTGAGACCAGTGACTGAGGGAGCAGCAGTGCTTCATTTTGTCATTTCTTTAGTCATCTGACCTTGGCTCTGATCTTAATCTTTCAGGCCCTTGGCAAGGGGACATGTATTACATTTTCAAAATGAAGATTATTTTGTTCTCATTGTAAAAATGACCTGTGCTCATTGTAAGAAATTCAGGCAATACAGAAAAAAGTATAAAGAATAAAGTAACTATTACCTGAAATCCCCATTTGAGGCATCTTTATGTGCGTGTATATACTGTTATACACACCCGTTCTTCTACTTATATTTTTATGTAAATATTCTATCCTAGAATCTGTTGTATTTTACTTATTAGATCATATCCTAGTTTAGTCATCTTGTACCAGATGACGACCACTTAAAAATATCTTATTTCCTGGACTTCCCTGGCGGTCCAGTGGTTAAGACTCCATGCTTCCACTGCAGGAGGCATGGGTTCGATCCCTGGTTGGGGCACTAAGATTCCCACATGCTACTGGGCATGGCCAAAAATAAATAAATAAAATTTTAAAATATATATCTTATTTCCTTTTTTTGGTAATGCCTTTGGTTTTGGTGTCAGAGTAACGTAGACCTCATGTAAAGAGTTGGGAAGTATTCCCTCCACTTGAATTTTCTGGAATAATTTGTATAGAATTGGTACTATTCCTTTCTTAAATTTTTTAATAGCATTCACTAGTGAAGCCATCTGGGCCTGGAGTTTTCTTTGTTGGAGGGTTTCTAACTATATATTCAATTTCTTAATAGATACAGGGCAATTTAGGTTATCTATTTCTTCTTGAAGGAGCTTGGTAGTTTCTTTCAAGTAATTTGTCCACTTTATCTAAATTTTTGAATTTAGTGGTGTAAAGTTGATCATAGTATTCCCTTATTATCCTTTTAATATCCATAGGATCTGTAGTAATGTCCTCCCTCATATTTCTTTTTTTTTTTTTTTGTGGTACACGCAGCTCTCACCGCTGTGGCCTCTCCCGTTGCGGAGCACAGGCTCCGGACGCATAGGCTCAGTGGCCATGGCTCACGGGCCCAGCCGCTCCGCGGCACGTGGGATCCTCCCGGACCAGGGCACGAACCCGCGTCCCCTGCATCGGCAGGCGGAACCCCAACCACTGCGCCACCAGGGAAGCCCCCTCATATTTCTTGATATTGGTAATTTGTGTCTTCTTTTTTTTTTTTCCCTAATCAGTCTTGTTAGAGGATTATCAATTTTGTTGATATTTTCAAAGAACCCGCTTTTAGTTTCATTGATTTTTTTCTCTGTTGTTTTTCTGTTTTCTTTTTTGTTGACTTTTGTTGTATTATTTTCTTTCCTATGCTTACTTTGGGTATAATTTGCTTTTCTTTTTCTGGTTTCTTAAGATAGAAACTTGAATTGTTTACTTGAGACCTTTCTTTTCTAATATAACCATTTAATGCTATACATTTCCCTCTATTTCTTAACTGCATCTCACAGATTTTGTTGTGTTTTTGTTTCCATTCAGTTCAAATTATTTTCCAAATTCTTTTTTTTTTTTTTTTTTTTTTTTTTTTTTCGAGCCTCTCACTGTTGTGGCCTCTCCCGCTGCAGAGCACAGGCTCCGGACGCACAGGCCCAGCAGCCGTGGCTCACGGGCCCAGCCGCTCCGCGGCACGTGGGATCCTCACGGACCAGGGCACGAACCCGTGTCCCCTGCATCGGCAGGCGGACTCTCAACTACTGCGCCACCAGGGAAGCCCCCCAAATTCTTTATGATTTCTTCTTTGACCTATGGGTTATTCTGAAGTATTTTGTTTAATTTCCAAATATTTGGGCACTGTTGAGATACCTCCCTGTTATTGATTTCTAGTTCAATTCTGTTAAGAACAAAAGACATTTTATGTGATTTCCAGTCATTTTACATTTTTTATTTGTATTTTGGCTAAGCATACGGACTATCTTAGTGAGTTTTCCATATGCATTTGAAAAAAAATGTGTATTCTGCTGTTTTGGGGTGAATTTTTTTTTTTTTTCCCTGTGGCTGCACTGCGCAGCATGTGGGATCTTAGTTCCCCGACCACGGATAGAACCCATGCCGCCTGCAGTGGAAGAATGGAGTCTTAATCACTGGACTGCCAGGGAAGTCCCTGTTTTGGGGTGAATTATTCTCTAAAAGTCAGTTAGGTTAAGTTGGTTGATAGTGTTGTTTAAGTATTTTGTATCTTTTTTTTTCTTAATGTTCTGTATCGTATAAGATTTTATGTCTCATCAGTTATTGAGAGAGGAATATTGGAATCTTCAACTATAAAATTGTGGTTCTGTCTATTTTCCTTTAGTGTTTGCTTCAAGCATTTGGAAACTCTGTTATTAGGTGCTTACACGTTTAAAATTATGTCATTTTGATGAATTGACAACTTTGTCATTGTGTGATGTCTCCCTTTAC